GAGAAAAGGTAAAGTTGGTAAAACTGTGGGGTCAACATGACAACACTATAAAATTCCCACATAACATGAGGGTGAATGTAAATGAGCTTGAAAATGTATTAATTGATTAAAGCCAATCATGATGAAAGCAACCAGGTGAAACAACCAATTGCAATTGTTTCAGAGTGGTAACGAAAGTAAAGAGCTTTTTTTTTTTTTAAAGAAACGTGTGTATTTTTTAGGCTGTATTATTTGTTTAGTTCAGTGTATGAATAAAAATGTAATAATGAATTGCAAACTGTAGGCACCTACACAAAATTGTAAATCCACACAAAATCTCACTGCTCTTTTGAGATTAAAACTGCATCCATTATAATTATTGTTACTAATGACAATAATTATATTTGTACATATACATTTGGATTTTTGAAGAGGTGTTTTGATCAAAATATCATAAAATGCTAATAAATAAAATATTAATTATCAATAATTCAAAAGGCAGATATTTCTTGTTAATGACATGACATTGATTCAACATAGATATTTTAATTGTTTTTTTTTAATGATTTGTTTTTGTTAAAAACATTTTTCAATGATTTAGCATTAAACTTTATATCAACATTGTGTAAACGTTAAAACAGCAACTGACATTATTTCAATCATATTTCAACTTTGAAGGTTGGTCATGTGCCAACTAGACTGAAAAGAAAAGTCTGTACTGTGTGTTCAAAAAGAAAACTGAACACAAAACACAATATGCTAACTGAATGGAACTTTATTCTGAACATCTGTATAGATGTTCAGAATAAAGTTCCATTCAGTTAGCATATTGTGTTTTGTGTTCAGTTTTCTTTTGCTGCAAACATGATTTCTGGATTTTTCCATCAGAAACATGAATTTCAATTCTATCTTTCTTCACTTGGGCTATTTCATTATCTGTTACTAACCAACTGACCATCAAACTCTGGAGTACTTCTGTGGAATCAGGCAGCTGTTGCTAGGGGTTTGAGTTCTTCTACCCATCTCAAAGCCACTATAATCCAATTATTTTGATAGATAATTGGCTTTCTGTAACCCGTTCTTCATATTGCACAGTGACCATTTTCTGGATATTTTGAACCATTTGTATAGATTTTGAAATAACTATATGGAGATAAGCATGTGCTTTGCAGACCATTGCTGATGGCACTCTGGGTTTAATTTGATTTGTATATTCCAGGGCTTTTCAACTGACTCATGAACTCTTCAACAGTCCTAAATGTACTGTTGAGTTTAGTTCTATCTCTAACCAAACACACCAAACAAGCTAATCACAGTGTTCACAATTATTTGTGAATAAGAGACAGGTGTGTTTAATTAGTGTTGAAATTAAAGTCTGCTATAGGCCTACAGCAGCTCTCCAGGACTGGTGTTGAGAACCAGTGGCATGTAGACCCAGCATAAACCATGTGGGGCCCACATATACATGTTGGCTGGGCTGTAGTGGTATGTAACACATTTTACGTTCACCTGCGAATACAATTAGCTTACCTGCTGTTAACAGGATGCTCCAGTATTTCCACTCGGACATCTTTAAGAGAAAGCATCACCACCTCCAACACGTTCACCTCCCGGCATAGTATGTTAAATGTATGCACTATGGTGATGCAGTAGTGACCAGGCAATACATGGTCCAGATCAGCCTCCAGACAGCAGATGGACTCTGACACATTCGGCATCAGCGTACCCCATCCACACTTACACCACAAATTGTTTCTGACCCACTCTTCATCCCGAACCGGCAGGTTCACTATAACTTCTTCCACCTGTAACGGTATTACTGCTCGGTCCCCTCGCCTTATGCATAAGCCATTGGATTTACAATGGGCTCAACAGGCCTTTCGAGTTAGTCTTCCTCCATTTCAAATAAAGATTGTGTTCAAAAAGTAAAGAAATGCTTATATTATGATTATACCCCGTGACGTTATTCCGAGATGACGGCGCCCTTGCTCCAAAAGCTATAGCAAAGCATCCCTTTGTCTTTAAAACGGTAACATTAATTGCGTTTGTTATATATTTTTTTAATTAAAGTGGACACTTTACTAAATAATGTAAACTTGTCTGACTGCTTCACTTCCCCTTTAAACTGGAGGTCGATGCGAGTGCTGGGTGCTGGTGCGGTACTACTCCATAAAATATAATAAACACCAGCTTAACTATTCAACCATTGAAAAGGAAGCTCTTGCGTTGCTGTTGGCACTACAATATTTTGAAGTTTACATAGGTTCTAGTTCACTTCCTGTCACTACAGATCACAATCCATTAGTTCTCCTCTCTCGTATGAACAATCAAAATCAGCTCTGATCGTACAAAACTATAATTTGGAAATTTGCCACAAGAAACGAGCAGAAAATGTAGTAGCTGATGCTAGGTGTGCTTTGTTGAGCTCTGGTTTGTGCTGTGGTTTTGTTTTGGGGGTTTTAACAAACAATATTGTCATATATGTTTGTTCTTATGGGTGGGGGTGTTAACGTGTTCGTGCTGTGCTGTGCTGTGCTGTGTGTTTCTCTGTCTTCGCTTTTCTTGTTTACTTTCACTTTCCTAGATGCCGGTCATTGGTCCTGTCACCTGTCAATCATTATCAGCTGCTGACATCATCCATCCTTTTGTCACCAATTGGAAAAGACCACCCCAGATAAAAGAGCGCACCAGACCACTTGCCAGCCCCTCATGCTGTTTGTTTTCTTTGATGCTATTCTGTCAAACACATCTTGTCTAAGGGTGCTTTCACACTTGGTTCGATTGCCTGGTCCGAACCTGAGTTCGATTGCTCCCCCTAGTGGCCCACAGAAACAGTCGCTAATGAGGAATCTACCTATACATAACTATGACTTGAACCGTACCCCAGACCACCCCTTTTAAGCGGACTCGGGCACCCAAGTTTGGAAAACAGTGTTCATATTAGGGGTGTCGCGATATACCGATACTGACGATAATCGTGATATTTGAATAATTAATTATTGTTACCATGTTAATCAGGGGTGTCGCTGGTATTTGTGATATTTAAAAATGAATAGTACACATACGATAATATGACACATAATAATCTAGCGCCAGCGGCATTATGGAGTGTTAAATTCTCACGTGTGATTTGTTTCATTCATACTCGACACCGGAGGGCGCCCTCACGCAGAAAGTCCACAAGCGAGACTCATAGGAGTAATGAAACAAATGACTTTCCAGGAAATCCCTTATACGGACAAAGACATCCAGCTGTCACTGTAGCTGAATATAGTGCAGAAAGAAATGTTTTGTACGATGAAACATGATGAGAATCAGCACACGATTACAACTGCATTCTTCAAGCCATTTCAGGTATTTTCCTATGGATAATGAATGTTTATCTTGCAATGCTAATCGATATAGCCTTTATCACTGTATAGAATACTATAAAATAAAAATCAGTTCACAGAAGGAAGTTATTTCAAACGCTCGATCGATGCTATAATGCAATTTTGGAGTAAAAATATGTAGTTATTGTCACAAGTTATCTTACTTTGACACTGTGCTAAACTAAAAAACAGTTAGCATTTTAGTCTGTTTAGTGTAATTGTTCCTATTGTGTGCAGTGGTGTGATTCATTGGTCAAAAAAAGAAAATAGATAAATAAATATAGACATCACAATATATTGTTATTGTGAATTTTTGACGCCACGGTAATCGTGTAGTGAAAAATCTGATATCGTGACAGCCCTAGTTCACGAACCTGGGTGCGCACCAAAAGTGCTAGTGTGAAAGCCCCTAACTCGCATGTACCCTTTTGTTGGTGTCGCTTGTTTTATTTGTATATTCCACATCATCCTATATGTCTGTTCACCTCGATGTAATGTGACATATTTCATCAGCATTTACACAATATTTATTACGAGGCTTGGAAGAAGCAGACAGGTAAGAATGTTATGTGACGCAACACGTAGAATCTGCCTCTGTCTAGTACATTAGGTTAGGGCCGAGTGCCACTTCTTGTACTTTTGGTTAGGCAGCGTAGACTAGTTAGGGCATCACGGACGCCGAAGACTTTTCTTTTTATTATTTGTTAGTTAGGTTAGAGGGTTTATCTGAAAGTTAGACTTCATTTGGTTTTGTTATTGTTTTTTTCTTTAGCACCGCCCGCGTCCCTACTTCCACCTCCTGTTTTGTGTAGTTTGTCTTATGTCATGCTGTAAATATTGTAAATACATACTTTTGTATTATCTCATTTAATTAATCACTGCTCTATTTTCATTTTGCCTTAGCACCCAATAAATTCACCTGTCTGTTGCTTGTAGACAGGCTTTTTGGTCCTTTGCACAGCACGCAACTTGAATATATATTTCTCTTTTATTGTCCATTCTAAACGTTAAACCCCTGTATCCCTAGAATCTATCAGGGTTGTAACAACTGATTTTCACCAATCAGATGTTCCCTAGCATGGGGATGTCTCCACCACTCTATGAAAATGACCTGAATCCTATTGGTTACATAAAAAAAGCACAAGACGAGCCCTTTGGATGTGTCCCACCCAAATCCCTTGTTTGAACAGGAAATACATTGGTTCGCTTGTCAAGCCATTTCATGTCATTGCTCAATAATCAGATGATGATGTGCTGTAGAAAAACAGACATTGGATTTTCATTTTATTAAAACAATGTGATCAGCTCTTCCCAGAGGACAAATCCAACTCAAATGTATTTAGGAATGTCCTGATCCCAATGAAGCAGCTGCCCATGTACAGATGCGTCTATGTGTGCTCCTTACGCCTGATCAGTCTCTTGAAAGCCTGCTTAAAGTCCTCGTTGAAGCTTGTATACAGTAGCGGGTTAATGAGCGAGTTGACGTAGCCCAGCCAGGTGAGGGCATCCGACAGGTGAGGCGAGGGGTTCAGCACATTCAGGCCCACCAGCAGCTCTTTCAGGAAGAACGGGAGCCAGCACAGGATAAAGGCTCCCAGGATGAGCCCCAAAATCCGAGCTGCCTTCCTCTCCCGAGACGTACAGATCTGGTTCCTCTCGTCCAGCTCCGGCGTCTCCATATCAAGTGGAGTCACACGGACGGTGGCATGGTTGTGGTCGAACTCCACGGTGTGGTCAGAGTTGGACACGTCCGAGACGCAGAAGGCGTGCGTGACCCGGCAGTGGTTCATCGAGTTGGTGCTGTCGGTGCTGCGGCTGCTGAGGTGGCGGGAAGAGCCACGTTTCTGGTAGAGCGTCTTGGCGGCACTGTAAATCCGGGAGTAAAGGATGAGTATGAGAGTCATGGGGATGTAGAAAGCACCGAATGTGGAGTAGATGGTGTAGCCCACATGGTCGTGCTCGATGATGCACTGCTGCGGGCCTGTCCCATCCCCGCGCTGCCTCCAGAACAGAGGCGGAATGGAGATGAAGATGGAAATCACCCAGACTGTGGCCACCATGACGCCGGCGCGCCGGGCCGTCCTCTTGCGTGCATACTCGATGGCTTTAGTGATGGCCCAGTAGCGGTCGAGTGCGATCACGCACAGGTGCAGGATAGAGCAGGTGCAGCAGGTTATGTCGACGCTCAGCCATGCCTCGCACACGAACTGCCCCAGTGACCACGTCTCGGTGGTGATGTAGAGGATGCTGATGGGCATGACCAGCACGGCCACCAGGAAGTCAGTGACGGCCAGGGAGCAGATGAGGTAGTTTGCAGGGAGGTGGAGCTTCTTGGTGGTGCAGATGGCCGCGATGACAGCGCCATTCACCACGGCCGTCAGCAGCGTCACGAGCGCCAGCAGAGCCACCACGGCCAACCGTTCCGTCATCAGCTCAACGTGGAAGGCTGCTCCTGGGGTGGCGGTGGTGTTGGTTGCATTGGCTGGAGCGCCGGCGCTTTCTCCCATGTAACGCTCCATCTCTATCCTGTGGCCAGTCTCTCCCTCAGTCAGGAGGATCCCTCTGTCCAGGACTAAAGCCCCAAAGACTTCTGCACTGGATCAATGACAGCCTGTCAAACACACAATTAACATGGTATTTATGTCAAATTAGTTACTTAAAATGATTATTAGTGACTTATAAACTTCCAGAACATGTAGACACAGTGGCATCTAATAAAGGAGTAATTCACAGCTGGCAAATTGGGCTTGCCTGTCTATGCAGTAGAAATGTGAAAACGTTTTGAAATCGGTGCTGCATGACTAGAGAAAACAGAAAAAGGGCTTGACGTTCACTTTTTCCAAAAACTTTAATACAATTTAATGCACTTTTGAATTTTAGTGCCGCCCCTCTGCCAATCCAGCTGTCTGTGGGAAGGAATGCACAAATGCAGAAGTTAGAGAGTCGGACTTGTAACCCAAAGGTTGCGAGTTCGAGTCTCAGGTCCGGCAGGAATTGTAGGTGGGGTGAGTGCATGTACAGCGCTCGCTTCCACCTTCAATACCACGACTGAGGTGCCCTTGAGCAAGGCACCGAACCCCCAACTGCTCCCCGGGCGCCGCAGCATAAATGGCTGCCCACTGCTCCAGGTGCGTGTTCACGGTGTTTGTGTGTTCACTGCTGTGTGTGTGCACTTTGGATGGGTTAAATGCAGAGCACTAATTCCTAGTATGGGTAACCATACTTGACCACGTCACGTCACTTTCACTTTCAAAATGGTGTGTTTTGCATCATCTGGTGGACTTTTGCTAACAAATAATCATGATATCTAAGTGCAGATGACATGGAGAAAGAGTACCCATTGTTTGTTTACTTATACTTCTGACATTGTAATAATTTAAAGTTGAAAATCTCTGGCAATGGCAATGTGAAGTTTATTTCTAAAGCACAATTCAAATCAACTAAAAGTTGACCAAAGTGCTTTACAGTAACAGAAATTTAACAACATTCAAAGCAAAACACAACATGGGAGATTGTATTAATCTTTATGATACATTAAAAGCCAGGGAAAACAAATGAGTTTTTAGTTTAGATTTAAAATCTGAAAGTGCTTGAACCGTTTTAATAATACACAGTGGAAGACTGTTTCACAGTTTAGGGGCAACAACAGAAAAATCCTGATCATCTCTTCATTTTAGTCTAGTTAACATTTTTGAAAGAGAGCCAGCGCTTGACTTTTGCCAAGAGCCTTAGCTGGTAAAAGCTTTTTTCTGGTTTATAAAAGAAAGACAACTGTTCCAGATTAAGATTTTGGATATCATACCCATCGGGGGGATTAAACACAACAATCTCTGTTTTGGATTAATTTAAATTAAGACATCCAAAGTCAGTTAAGTTAAATCAGTTAAGCAAGTCAAAAAAGTCTGTAAGGCATTTGAATCATACAGTTTCAATGGCAGATATATTTGAGTGTCATCTGCAAAACAATTATGTCTTTTTTTACATTTTAAATAGTAAAAAATAAATAGTTAAATAGTTATAACTAAAAATGGTGGAAGCATATATAGAGAAAATAATACAGGTGCCAGGATAGATCCCTCTTGTAACACTCCAAAGAGAAAGGAAAAATTGAAATCACATCATATGACCCCTTTAAAATGTTAATAAATATTCTGTTTTATTAATTAATGTGTGCTGTGTCTGGGTTTTACGGAGCAGCTGTTTTCATATAAAAATCACTGATCTAATGTCATATCAGAATTTATTTACAGAAAGCTCAATAGCAGTATGTTCATAGTAATCATATTGACTAATATTAATAAAATGATTGACATTAAGAATAAAGTAAATATTACTTCACAATAGATGTTAATTATAGCACTTTACAAGTACAATAATGCAGGGATGTAACTGCATTTTTTTTATTTAACCAGAAAAAAAAATTTTTTTTTTGTAATAATCAAAATTATTTACATATTCATTATTGTCCAGGGAGTGTTCCAGCTCTGATCTAAGTGATGTCTTTGGTGATTGTGACCTGTGATGAAGTGATTTTGTGAGAGAGATATTGATTATGGCATTTTCCAGGTGTGTTTGGTCCATGTCCTCTAGTGTTCTGTATTGAAGACAAATTAATTTATGCCTCTGCTTGGATTTGCTTTTCTCCAGTCACAGCAGCTCTGACCGGCTGCCCCGCAGGTACAAACAGGAACAGAATGAAGTGAATTTAATGCAGGTTTTGTGTCTCAAGGGCAAAGTCAGCAGTGGAGAATGCATTTATATTAATGCAGTTATTTAGAAGAAAAATAAATTGATTCACAGACTGTAGAGCACAGAACCATTGCAAAGATACACACAAACAAACACACGCATGATTACAACACATCTGTATAATTTAATTCATATTTAAACCAAAGAGTGGAGCCAATTAATCTTATCTCCTTCAGTTTTGAGCACAGCACATGCTAAATATAACCTTCCTAACATGTGAATTTAATGAAGAAGTAAACCATTACTGGTCACGGGTATTAGCACAGCTATTACTCACTGAATGAAGCGACATACACTATAGTTTCTACTCTTCAGAGCAATGATGACCACAAAAACTTCAGCATAGCAGAAACTCTTTTAAATGTGTCCCTGGCTGCAGCACAAAAGCAGTCTTAAGTCGCTGGGGTATATTTGTAGCAATAGCCAACAATACATTGTATGGGTCAAAATTATAGATTTTTCTTTTATGACAAAAATCATTAGGATATTAAGTAAAGATCATGTTTCATGAAGATATTTTGTAATATGATGATGTATAAATCTCAATTTCAAAAAATTGACCATTATGACTGGTTTTGTGGTCCAGGGTCACAAATTTCAAGCATAAATGAACATTAAACAGTAGCAGGCCTTTCCTTTAACTCAAAATCATATAAAATAACACTTCATTTCAGCATTTACAATCGTGAGCCAGCCCTTTGCAAAGCTGGGAAATGAAAATCCACCACCCAGTTTTGGTTAATGCAACAGAGTTGATTAACATAGTTCATGTAGTTCTTGTGAAGTGAAAAGCTGTGTGTTTGTAAGAAAGAAAATCCATCAATACATTTTGAATGTCAAATCTTTGCTTCAACCTACTTATTTGTTCAGAACTGTTTTGGACTGTTTTGGCTTGTAAACGGTGCTTGATCTGTGCAGATTTCTATCCTGATTCAGAGAAGACAACGTTTTCACTGGAGGAAGCTTTATTATGGATTATGGACTCGTACTTTAGCCAGAAGCAACAGTTTAAAAGCGTCTTGATGGATTTGTTTGTTACAAACACAGTTTTTGGTTTCAAAAAATGTTAATTGATGGACTGGAATCATGTGGATTACTTCAGCTGTTTGGACTCTCATTCTGACGGCACCCATTCACTACAGAGCATCCATTGCTGAGACACTGATGCAATGCTACATTTCTACAAACCTGATGAAGATACAAATTCATCTACATCTTTTTTTTTATCCTTTATTTAGCCAGGAAAATCCCATTGAGACTTCACAATCTCTTCTTCCGGGGAGACCTGGGATCTTGGATGGTGATAGGGTGAGGACATTTTCAGCGAATTTTCATTTATAAGTGAACTATTCCTTTAAGATCCCCTCCGTTTTACAGATTTATATGGGTTGAGCGAAGCTGAGTGTAACATGACAATTAAACAAAATATTCAAAAATTACGCCGCTTTAACTCTTAAGTAAACTGAACAATTAACAAAAATGTATTTTTTTGAGCGAACAATTGTAAGTACTACATAAACAATACTTTTTTTGTTATTGTTATATTTCATTTGTCTCCGTCACAACTGCCTGTCTCAAATATTTATTACGACAGATGTAACAAACTATATGACTGAATTGCTTCCTCAATCATCTCTTCATATAATCATCGACATATAATCACAGAACAAGTACCACCAATTGTGCTCCATCGTCCTGAATAAAACTATTGTAAAAACTACAGTTAAGTCATTATAATCTCAACAATTGAATTACAATAGCTACATTTCTTGGTTACTTGTCAAATTCTGCAACAAATAGAATAGTTAACAAGTAGAATAGATTAGCAAACTGAACATTGTTTTTTGTCTTTACTTACATGTCGCATGCATCAGAAAGAAAGTCAATTTCCAGTATCCATCAAGTCACCTGATATGAAATAATAACAATGTTGGCCAATATATCAGTGGCCAATAGCACATTATGTGAGGGATCAAGTGCAGTTAGCCAACCTTTATCAATTAGGATTTATGCATTTTTGCATTATATCCCTTTGCTGATCTGGACAACTATCATTATTCCCAAATACTGAGCTGTGTAAAAAGCTGTGTCATTAGCAAAAGTCAGCTGCACTAAAGCATTAAAAACTCAAATTTAAACAAACTCACCCAGACTTAATGGTGCGTGTGCAGGTGAGCTGCTGTTACTTCTCTCTCCCAGAGACATGCTCACTCTCTCTCACACACACACAAGTGTTTTCAGAAGACTGAATGTCTTTCCAAAGGTTTTGTATCTTCTCTAGGACCCGGTGCAATCACACTAATGATAAAGACATGAATGAGCAATCACACAACAGTAGCCTGTAATTGCACAGCTTTGATTGACAGCTTGGCCGGTCCCTAGAGGTCAGAGGAGGCTCTGAAATCCTTCAGAAGAGGTTCAAGCCTCACAATAACACAATCATCTGTGGCGTTCTTCACAAGTATCGTTCATCAACCTTTTGCGTGAGCGCTGTGTTTGCGTAGGCCGACTCATTATGTGCAGTTGTTGGGATATTTCTAAAGTGGCTGTCGTCACACATGGGCCTGAGCACTCATCTCTAAGTGAAGCCCAGGGATGTAAGTCATGAGGTGAGATGATTACAGATACAAGGAAATGCTGCAGCTGCAAATTCTTGTAAAAGAATAAGCTTTATTACAGGTTTAATGATTTGAATGTGCACTCAGTAAGTTCCCTTTCGAAATGGTCTCTCCCACTGCGTTTACACTTGGGTAAACCCAGCTTACGTCTGAATACTGAAGCCTGATTTGTTCACATTTGTGCAGCTGCACAAACCAACGGCATTTCATCTTGCCAAATAGGGCTGGGTATCGATTCAGATATCCCGATTCGATTCAATGTTTTATGCCTTCATCTGATTACCAGAAAAATTAAGAACATTTTATAGGGCCCTACTAGGGGTGTGCGATATATATCGCACACCAATAGTAGGGCCCTATAAAATGTTCTTAATTTTTCTGGTAATCAGATGAAGGCATAAAACATTAATTTAATTTATAATGAAAATTAAACCCTTAAAAATTAAAGTGCTGCACAACAGAGGTTTACTGTTAAAATAAAAATAAAACAGATGTGATTATTCCTTTAAAAATAAAGATTTATTAATATTTATTAGCAGTAGTAGCATTGAGTCTTCAGACTGCTAAATAGTAATATATTCTGACAGTTTAACGTTAAACTAAACTTTTATTTTGACGGGTTGCCGTGAAGAACTTGCAGCTGCTGTGTATGTGATATGACGGTAGTTTTCTCAAATGAAACGGTAAAATGCTAATGAAGTGACTCTCAGAGCAGCTGGAGATGACATTCGTGTTCATATCATCATATAGTGAGACGGCAGAAGCTGAAAACACCGCGAGCGTCATCCGCGCTTTAGTATGTGTGTAGTAAACAAAGTGCGCCGCGCCATCCGCCATTCATTCATTGCGGAAATCATGGCGCCTTATGAGTGATATCAAATGCTTCCGCAGATTTATAGTATTACTATAGCATTTCACCTGAGCATTGCGAATCACGCGTATGGCCATGATAAGCGCTGAATGAATGACAGGATTTCTGTTGTAACATCGCGCAAGGTAAATAAGGGTGACATCTAGTGGAGAAGACTAATGATAAGATTCACGTTAATCAGATCTTGTTTTAAATGTGCTGAAATAAATCCCGGAAAAGATCGATTCGTGGCTTTTGAGAATCGATATCGAATCGATGTCATTTAAAAAAACAATTAATCGATAAATCAATCTTGCCCAGCCCTATTGCCAAAACAGGTGGGGCCGACTGCCTATATAAGTCGCCACTGAGTGCCGAAGATTATCTCCTCGCTGGACTCCGAAGATGAAGAACGAAGAAGCCTGCTACTCGCTGTAGAAGAGCCCCAGCAGAGGAAAGATGCTCTCTCCATCTGGCGACGAACAAGGTCAAATTTCCGCTTCTAACTGAGCAAATTTTAGCAAGGTTTGTTGCTAAATGTCATGCCACAAGTGTGGCACATGCAGGGCAACCCTACACACCTCGGACA